AATAAATATATTTCCAGAGTAAAAGTGAAACACAGACACAGACACAGAACAAAACAGAAAAACTATGCAGAGAACATAATCATCACATTCATTTTCATCATATATGCCTTATGGTTATTCCATTTAAATGATTATTCACAGAATTTTTTTTGTTTTTTGTTTCTTATTTAATTTTGGTTGGTCTTTTCCTTTTTGCTATTTGGCTATCTTCGATATTATCGTTGTTGTGGTTATTAAATTGATTGTGATACATCATATCTTGTGTTTTGTAAAAGGAAAAAAATCCTGGAAATTTTCTTTGTTTTGTTTTCCTTGCAGACCACACATTATACAAATTGACCAATGTGATTTCTGGAAATTTTTATGAAATAACCAGAACCATTCATAGTGATAAAGGATAAAAGTGAAAGCTTTTTCATTTTCTAAGTTTTCTAAATATTCAAGTTTTCAATTCAAAAATCGATGGATTTCAATCAATCGACAAGCAATTTAAAAAAAACTGATAAAAACCGTTTCGGAATTTTGTTGAATTTCTAGATTTTACTTCACGAATTATCTTGATACTAATTATGTGCGTTGATGAAAACCATAAGCAAAAAATTGAAAACAAAAATGAACAATATTTTCATAGTTTTGTGTGGAGAATACTATATTTAAAAAGTAAATAGACAAATACAGTGATTATTCGCATGAAAAGATTTGATAACAAATTTTTTCGTTTGCTTCATTTTAAATCAACATCAGATTGAAGATTATAATGATGATGGTGATAATAAACAAAAACTTATAAAGGTTTTGCTTTGGATATCTTTTTTTTCTCTCCACTTAATAAATATAAAGTGTGAAGAAAAAACCTCATCTTATGGAACATAATTATTATGGCACATAGAGAAAGAAAAGAGATGGACGATTAGCATTGGCAATCATTCATCTTTCATTATTATCGTTCGTTATTGTTATTACCACTTTTATGATTATGGCTATTAAGCATCATCATCATCATCATTATCAGAATTGTGGCAAAATTACTTGCTTGCATAAATCTAAAAGCCAAAAAAACAAAGCTTATTTGGTTTATTTTCATATTTACCCACCTAAAACCCATTATTATTTGATTGGCTTGAAGGTTCAGGTGAATTTTTAGTGAAATTTAAATAAGTGAAAAAAAGCAAGAATCAAAAGGCGAGAATCAAAAGTGAAAACCAGAAAAACAAATTTAATGCGACCAATATGGACGATATGAATGAGGAAACAAACTAAACGAAACCAGCGTTTGATCGTTTTCCTCAAAGAAAAACCAAGAAAATCGATTAATCTAAATAAAAAAAATTGTCGATCAAAAAACAACCAGAAAATTTCTCAATAAATAAACATTATGGACATGTTTCTTGTTTTTTTCCATTCATCTAAAAACAAACTTTGATGATGATGTTTGGTGAATGATGATGATGATGGTTAATATAAAATAAGGTAGGTAGTCAACAACATTTAATAAACATGAAACCAGAATATTGTGAAACCAGAATTTCTCCAAAAATGATGGTCGAATAAGTTTAATAATCATTTTTTCGGACATAAAAACAATATCTGCGTGTGTAATGTATTGGCAATGTATTGGTTGATGAGAAATTGAGAAAAACACACACACAGAAAATTCATGAATAGTAAAGCTATTTTGTAAGCTGTTCGTATGTTGTTGTTGTTGTTGTCAAGAAAATTTAGATTGATGATGGTATGGTTGTTGATTGTAAATCATGACAACATCATCATCATCCGAAAGTAACATTCAAATAATGTGGAGGGAGGCAGAGAAAAATCTTTCCGAAAAATCGATTTTAAATCTGTTTTTTTTTTTTTGAAAATTCTATTTATTTTCATATTGATAATTTGCATTCAATCTTTATATTTTGAAATAGAAGAAAACTTTCTGTAAATTTTTTTTCCTGTAAATTTTATTTACAAATTTCGAAAAAAAAACATCCAAAAAATAAAAACAGAAAAGGATCATAAATTTACCCGGTAAAAAAAATTTAACTTTTTATTTGATTTCGCCAAAAAAAAAAAAAAAAAAAAAAATAGAACATTTTCATAGATTATTTTTGGTTATAAAATTCGTCTTATGGGACTTCTTTTAACACTGCAGCAGCAACAAGGAAAAAATAAATTGTACAAATCAATCACAAACAAACAAAACAAAATGACAAAAGTGGTAAAAGTTGATTGTTACACAACAAAAAGAAAAAAAAAATGTAATCAAATATAATGGAACCCGGTCATTATTCAAACGGAAAAATCCAACTATCAAACAACAACAACAATGTTAAAACAATGTTTTTTTTTGTTGCCTATTTCAACCTTATTTTTTTTCCCAGTTAACTAACTAATTAAGTTAAATTGATAGGTACATGGTCATATAATTTCTATTTGGATTGTTTTTGTAGTGTTTCGGATTTCAATTCATAAAAACAACAATAACAACAAAAATAATAATAGAGAGAAGGTTGGCTGGCTAGTTGGTTGAAAAAAACCACTACCAGCAATGATGATGACAATGTGAAAAAGACATCCCATTGCAAAAAACCTTGTATGAAACTTTTTTTTTCTCCATCATCAACATCATCAGTATCATAAAAAATAACTAACCCTAAACCTCCCCTATACAATTACTATTTCAACTAATTGATGATTGAAAAAAAAGTTACAAAAACAAGAAAAACAACCCAAAACAACAATCAAATGTCAATGAAGATATTTTTTCCCAATACAAACAAACAAAACTAGACAGACATAGACAGACAAATCAACCCAAAACTAGACAACTATTTTAACCAGACAGACAAACAAAAATTCTGATGATGATGATGATTATATTGGTCATTGGTGTGATGATGTTATTGTAATTGAGATCCATGAGTGGGTGTATTGAATGGATGGATGGATTGGTCGGTCTGATAATAAGATGATGATGATCATGATGATGTTCAATTGAATTCCAAAAAAAAACAAGGAGAAAAACAAGGGAAAAATGTTTGTTGCAAAAGAATAATTCAAGCGTTAATAGAAAAAAAACAACAAGGAAAACAACAACAACAACAACAACAACAACAAAGAAATATAATGAATGTAGTCATTTCAAAATGTGTTTCGAAACATTCCAAACAAAACAAAACAAAATTGTTGTTGTTGTTGTTTGTATGTTTGGAACAATTGATGCAGCAGTTTCATTCTTTCATTCATTCATTCAGAATGATTGACTGAAAGAAACTGAAAGAAAAAAAACTACAATTTTGACTTGTTGTTGTTGTTGTTGTCTTTTGTTGTTTGATTCTTGATTCTTATATTTTTTTGATTGTCAAAAAATGGTCACAATGATGATGATGATGATTACAACAACAACAACAACAACCGCAAACAACAACAACAAAAGAAAAATATCAAAAGCAAATCATCATCATCATCAATATCTACTGAGAAATCAGAGAGAGAAAAAAAGTTTAAGAATTGAGAATAACAACAACAAACGAAATTGATGATTGTTGTTACGAATTGAAAAACGATTGCAAACAGCAAAGAAAATAAGCAAAGAAAATGAAAAAAAAATGATTTTATCATTTTCCAAAAAAATTGAATTATCATCAGAATCAGGGAAAATATATTAATGTGTGATAGATGTGATTGTTTGTCGTATTTTTTTCGATTCTTTGATTCTTGATTCTTTGATTTTAATTCAATTCAGTTTTGTCGTTGTTGTTGTTGTTTGGCATCATTAACATCATTTTTTGCTTCACTGTTTTGATAGATTAAGCATTTTTTTTTTGTTTGAATTGATTCTGGCTATAGAAACACTGATTGTAAACTTTTTTTCATTTTCATTTTTTCAAAAACTGCATGAGATTTTTTTTCGCCATTTCGGGCATCATTAAAACAAAAAGATTACCCTTTTTTAAAAAAAGGTAATTAATTAACGATAATAATTAATAATAATATTTATGCTAAAGGGTTAAACGTTGGTAACATTTTTTTTTTTTTTTGAATTTCAAATTTCGAAAAAAATCATGACTTTTTCCCATTTTTTTCAAGCACAACTTGGGTGCAAATAGAAAATTATTTATGATTAAAATTTCATCATTATTAACACTTTTGAACATAATGAAGATGCTTCCCTACACACACACATCGACTTAGGATTAAGTTTTTCATTGAAAACTTATAAAAAATCTTATAATTCAAATCAATTAATTAAAGGCAGTGAAGCTTACATTTTTTTTTCTTTTTTCAATTTCTGTCATCATTTAACACTGTGAACGACGACTTAATAAATAAATAATCTTTTCATTTTTGTATTTTGAATAGAATTTTCTGCCATTATTCATCATTTTTAATTTATAAATTAATCAGCCATAATGATAATTACAAATAAATAAATAAACAAACAAACAATGAATGAATCGATTCTATAAATTCATTCATCCATAATGAAATTGAATTTGAAAAACGAGAAGAAAAGGAAAATTTCAGTTTTTTTTCAATTTAATTTTCCTAATAAAAAACGCAGTGATTATCGAAAAAAGAAAGAATCAGTAAGAAAATATCAATCAATCATTTAATTCTTCAAAAAAACTTAATTTTTCTTCCTTTTTTCTCTGCTTCTCCTATCATAATAATTGAAAAGTGTTTTTTTTCGAAAAGATTTTTTTCTTCCGAAAAGATTTCTTCGTTTGATAAATACTCTTTATAAATTATAAATTATTTTTCCTTGACAATTAATGAATGAATCAATTTTTTTTTGTTTGCGTTGAATAGATTTTTGATTGATGTTGTCGTTGCCGTTGATGTTTTTTGCTGATAATCGATATTATTGGTTTTAATAATCATCATATTTAATAAGCAATTCTGGTAGAAGTGGAAGAGAATTTCTAGCTTAAAACATTTTTGTTTTTGCTCAAACAAACTTATCAAGTTTTCAAAGAAAAACATTTGAATAGAAAAAATATACAAACCTTCATAAACAACAACTTCAGTATCGATTGAAATAACAATCGGTTGACAGGCAAATTCATCCAATTCTAATTGATTCCAATTTTTACCCAATAAACGTTCAGGTAATGTACAATTTGGTGAATATGATAATGGTATACGATGTTCAATCATCCATTCACGAAATGTACGTAAACTACAATCACATTGCCATTGATTATGATGTAATGTTAGCTCATAAACGGCCGGTAAACTTTTCATTATTTGTCCATCAATATATCTGGTATGCAAAAAGGAAGAGAAAAAAAATGAAAAAAATGAAAAAATGAAAAATCAGTAAAAAAAGAAACAAAACAAAACAAAATAAGCCAAAAAACAAAGGAATGAATTTTTATTCGGAAGCGGCAATTCAAGAAAATGAAATGAAAAAAAGCTTCATAAAATGATGAAACCAAGAATATGAATGAATAAAGAGAGAGAGGGGGAAAAAACGTTTCATCCAATAACTATTGCGTCGGTTGCAAACAAAAAAAATTTTTATTAATTCTAAACACGTAACATTTGGAATCGGTGGCTAAAAAAAACAGTAAAAGCAAAACAGTAAAAAAACTCTTTTCATTTTCCCTATAGTTTTTTCATTATTTCATTTTCTATTCTTTAAGCAAAAAAAAAAGAATTTTGTTTCATCCAAGTGAAAATCGTATATACCATGTCTGTGTGTGTGTGCAAAAGCAATAAAAATGTATATAAGTGTTTCTGGTGACATTTCAGAATTTCAATTCACATACACAAACACAAACAGAATATTCGTCTCTATCATCACAGGGGAAAAAAAGGACAAAAAACAAAACAAAATTCATGAGGTAAAGATCGATTTCATTTCACGATTCTGTCTCTCTCACTCACTCATATCAGAGTTTTTTTTTCGTATGAAAAATCTCATCACATACAAGAAGAAATAATGAAGTAAAACTTGACTAAACTTTTTTCTTTTTCTTTTCTCTTTTGTCATCGTCGTATTTAAATTTTTTTTTCTTTCAAACATTTTGAGCACAGAGAATATAAATAATGTCTTGTTGTTGTCGCTGAAGAAGAATATTCTTTCTCTCTTGATTCTTTTATTCTGAATTGGACACATACTTACTGAATTGAATTATCAAAGAATTCAGTGTATGTGATGTGTGCGATGTGTGTATTTACAGAATGACCGCTATATTTAATCAAATCGAATCGAATCGAAATGAATATCAAGGTAATTTTTGTTTCTGATTATTCTGATTTCTGAATTTTTTTTTCATTTCTTCTCTTCTCTCAAGCATAGTTTCATTATTCACAGAATAAAATTCAAAACTTTTTTTCCTCTCCCCCTTCTTCTTCTCAGATTGACGATGGAAAGATTCTGGATGATGGTAGTGTGCGCCCTGATTTGAATGAATTCTTTTGACGACAACAACAACGGAAAAAAATCATGAAATCAAATGAGCAAATACATAAGAAATTGTATTCCATTTTTTGTGTGTTTATTTAAAAATGCCACATATTGTCAATAACAACAACAACAACATTTTCCTTCCGTCGATGTTTGTTGATTTCAGAAAAAAAAAATGATGAAAGAATAATAATAAAAACTTTCCAATAACGATTGATTGAAGATGAAGAAGAAGGGGAAAATGTATGCCAAAGATATTATAAATAGCAATGTAAAATGTACCAGTGGTACATGTATTTTGAAATTCATTTGTAAAACTAGTAAATAGGAAGAAAAATACTTTAGCTATTGATTATTACATTGGCATTAATTTTCTTACCAGAAAAAATATAGAGAAACGAAAAAGATCAAAAAATCCAAGAAAATCACCAAAAAAATTTTCAACTATCTCTTTTGTATATTGAATGACGATGATGTAAGATGATATCGATCCTAAACAACAATTTCTTGCAATGCCATCAATTTTTATACGCACAAAGAATGACCAAAAATTCAAAATCAAAATCTTTTCGAAGGGAAATATGCAAGAAAATAATGAGAGAAAGAAAAAACGGATTCAACGGTTATTATATTCGATGGAAACTTTCTTCTTTTTTTTCGTTTTTCTTCTTTTTCGTTTCTCACAAATAATACCAGCAAACAAAAATAAAATGAAATGAAACAAACAAAATGAATGGATAAATAGATAGAAGAAAAGCAAAAGAAATGAAAAGAATTCCAAAGAATCAAAATTGGAATTTTCGTTTTCATAAACAGAATTGGAGAATGAAAAACACGCACACAGACCTTATAAAAAGAAAAAAATCGAACATTTTCGTGTGTGTGTGGGGAGGAGGGGGTAGTGAGTGAGAGCGGGGGGAGTGATGCGTTTGTTCGAAGAAGAACATTCGAAACAAAAAATCGATTTTTTCGTTTTTCGTTCGAATCAAGAAGTTTTGCATGAAATTTTTTTTTGTGAAACTTTTAAAATTTTTTTTGTTTTGTTTGCTGGTTGGATTTGAATTTTTCATTGAGAATCAATGATATTCTTCAAATATAATATTTTCAACCGAAAATTAACATTGATTGCAACAACGAAAAAAAGCAACATCTATTATCTGAATGTCTATTACTCGAATGGAATGTGTCTAGAGATGATTACATTCGATTTGTGAAACAAGTTTTCTGATTTCGAAAAAAGTGGTGTATATAAGTTCTGACCCTTGTTTGAGTTTAAATCCAGATTAACTAAATTCAAAGAATTTCTTTTGCTTTTAAAAATAACATGGCAACGACGACGACGACAATAAATTCGAATATATTTTTTTCGATTTTTCGTTTTTGTTTTTGTGCTTGCTTTTGATGATCGACTTTCGAGAGAAAAAAAGAAATCGACAAACAACAAACAAATAGATTCGAATGTTTCGAAACAAAACAAAAAAAAATTCTCCACAATTTTTTCGAAAAAAGATAATAGGAAAATGGTAAAAAAAACAAATCGATGAAATGAAATGAAATGAATCGACCGAAAGAAAACAAACAACAAAAATTCGCTTTCGACACTCGATTTTTCGTTTTGTTTTTGTTTTTGTTTCTCCAAAGGTTCGATGTTCGAAAGAGAAAGAAAGAATTGATAAATGGGCAACTTGTGTATAGCACACAGGGAGTGAAAAAAGAAAATTTTTCGTTAAAAACTAAGACAAACAGCCCAAAATGAAACGTTCTTTTTCGTCGTCGTTGTTGTCTTCCTCATTCATTGCATTCTTCTTCGTTCAACATTGGTTATAAGTTCCAAAGGATCAAATTAAGATAAAGCATCATCATCATCAGAAAAGAAGAAAAAATAATTCTTTGAAAGAATAGGAAGAGAGAGCAAACATTCTCTCGTTCAATTCTTACTTATTGAGAGCTGCCTGTTTGGAAAATTCTTTCTGTGTGTGTTCGTTCGGTTCGTTTGTTTCGTTTTATTTTTATTATTTTTTTTTATTTTTTAAGGAAAAAAAACATCCTGAACAACAACAACAACAACAAAATCGACAAACAAATGGATGAAAAAAAAACTGTCGCACGGGTATTTTTTCAATTCTCAACAGTGAAAAAAAAATAGAGAAATTCAACAACAACAGAAGCTTTTTTTTCCATTCTGCTGAAAGTAAAATACGTGGAAAAAAAACAATAATGAAGAACGGTGGTAGCTGAAGAACTAGGAAGTAAAAAAAAAAGAGAAGACAAATCGACAAAATGAATGATAACCAACCAACCTAAGCCGAGCCAAACAGAAAATGTATCGAGAAGATTTTCTTACATCAAAATAAACGATTTTTTGGGGATGCGTCAATATTTCCTTGTTTCGTACAACAACAACAACAACAACAAACACTAATATCACGTGATTATAAATCAATATCAATTTCGTTTGTTTGTTCGTTGTTGTCATTGTGTTGATAATGTCGTTTATTATTTTAAAATTGTAACAGAAATTGATAATTGAAAGCAGAGTGATAGAAACGAAACGAATAAATCATCTTCAAAAAAAAACTTGTGTGAAACAAAAATACAATAGAAAAAGTAAAGTTTTTTTAAAAAAAAAAATTGAAATTCTGCAAAGCAATTATCGAAAGATAGTTGTAGTATTCGATGATAAATATTAACGGTAAGAAAATGAAAAATGTTTTTCACTTAGCATTGATATTCTTGTTTAACACATACACACACTATATACGGAATAGGAATTTAGAAATTATTCGATTCTCTCATAACATTGTTTGTTTTTCAAGAAAATCCAAAAACAATGTATGTATTCATCTAAAGATATTTTAGCTGCAAGCAAAGAAGATGGCTAAAGAATAATGAAAAAGTACAACCAGTGTTATCTCTATTCAATGATGATGATAATTTGTTAATATTGCACTAGAACTATCGATACTAACAATCGATTGTTTAATGTAAAATATTGAACATCCAAATATATATGCATCCATTCATACATTTTCTGCAATTTTCATTTGATTATTTATGTTATTAGATATAGCATAAAGCGAAAGAAGAAGAAAGAAAACAAAAATTCTGCTACATTTTGTATGTTGACAATGTCATTCAAAATGACAGGAGAAAAAAAAATCAATGAAAAATTAGAATTAGAATCAATGTGTTATTATAGTGACAACCGGAATAATGATGACAACGACAGTAAAACAGTAACCATCATCATTATTATTATCATGTAAACATCTCACCTGGGGCATCATATTGAAATATTAACGAAAAAGAAAAAGAAGATTGCTTTGATCATCAACGAACGAACAACGAAAAACAGAAAATAAAAAATTTCCAAAGAAAGAAAAGAAATATTATTAGATGAATAGATGATAGTATCCCAAGTTATGATCAAACGATGATGATGAAAATAATGATAATGACATGATGATGATGATGATGAAGAATACTCTCAATGGGACTCAATTCTATTCACATTCATAAGTAAAATTCTTGAGAAAAGAATATTTGCTGTTGTTGCTGTGTATAAAATAACAACATTATCACAATTTTTTTATTTTTCGCTGATTCATTTCATTTTCATCATTATTACCTTGAACAAAGTGTTTATGAAGTGAAGAAAAAAAGGAGTAAAATTCATCATTGAAATTCTGTTTGTTTTTGATTTTTAGTTTTTTTTCAATCAATTTTTTTTATTATTATCGTTTTTTGTTGCTGTTGTTACAGATCTTGTTTTGGCTCTACCATCGTCATCAATAATCAGTATCACTGTAGTGCGATAAAAGTTTTGAATCAAACAAACAAACAAACAAACA